GGTGGGTGGGTGCGTGGGCGCGTGGGTGTGTGTGGGTGCGTCGGTGCGTGGGTAAGTGCGTGTGCGCGTGTCTGTGTGTGTGTGTGTGTGAACTCGTGCGATTCTGTGCGTGCGTGCGTGCGTAGCTGGCGTGCTGTGGTGTGGTGTGGTGTGGTGACCAGTGTGGTGTGGTGTGGTGTATGATGTGTGCTGTGTGGCGCGTGGTGTGTGTGTGTGTGTGTGGTGTGTGTGTGTGTGGTGTGTATGGTGTGTGTGTGGTGTGTGTATGGTCGTATGGTGTGTGTGTGGTGGGCGTGCGTGTGCTTGTCTGTGTCTGTCTGTCTGTGCCTGTCTGCGTGTGTGTGTGTGTGTCTTTGTCTGTGGGTGTGTGTGTGTGTGTCTGTATGTGCGTCTGTATATGTGTGTGTGTGTGTGTGTCTGCGTCTGGGTGTGTGTGTGTGTGTGTGTTTGGTTCTGTGTCTGTGTGTGAGTGTGTGTGTGTGTGTCTGTGTCTGTGTCTGGGTGTGTGTGTGTGTGTGTGTGTCTGTGTCTGGGTGTGTGTCTGTGTCTGTGTCTATGTCTGTGTCTGTGTCTATGTCTGTGCCTGTGTGTCTGCGTGTCTGTGTGTCTGTGGGTGTCTGTGTGTGTGTGTGTGTCTGTGTCTGTGTCTGTGTCTGTGTCTGTGTCTGTGTCTGTGCCTGTGTGTCTGTCTGTGTCTGTGCCTGTGTGTCTGCGTGCGTCTGTGGGTGTCTGTTTGCGTGTGTCTCCGTGTGTATCTCTCTGCGTCTGTGTCTCTGTCTTCCGCGTGTCTGCGTGTCTATCTGTGTGTGTGTGTGTGTCAAACTGTGGATGCGGGTGTGGGTGTGGGTGCGCGTGCGCCTGCATGGGTGGATGTGTGTGTGTGTGCGTGTGTGTCTGTGTGTGTTTTTTTTGTGTCTGTGTTTCGGACAGTGCCCAAAAAGCTCACGCCCTCAAAGGATTCACCCAAGCAAATCGCTGGAGCCACCAGCTACTGCTCCAAGCAGAGTTCCTGGGCCTGCCGCGCAGCGTTCTCCCGCACCCAACCCAGGATCTGCCGTCGGAGCTCCGGCAGCCGAACGCAGCTGTCCAAAGCCAGGGCCTGGACCAGGCAAATGCGTGCAGAAACGTTTATATAGATCCGTCATTCGGCTGCGGGGATCCCATTTAAATTTCAGTATGTCTCAAAATGGGACCATCTTCGTTTTGGGATGATTTCACATTCTTTGTCGCGAACAGCACCAGGATCAGGCCCTTATCGCAGAGCTGCCGGCACGACCGTCGCGACAGCAATCCGGAGTCAGTGTTGCGATAGGCCGGGCAAAGCTCCGGCAGCTGAGAATGTGTTCAGTACAAGTGGAGCACGCCAACTCGCTCCAAACATCGCTGGGAACGTGGATTGCATGTTGGAATGAGTTGTGATTTGAACGTCGCGCATGGTTAATACATTATAGGGGGGTAGTTGCCCAGGGAGGGAACACCCTTAATAGGACAGGTTTATTGATCGGGGGTCCGCAGTAGATTGATTTGTCCTAGCGCAATTCGTGCATCATTTGTGCAAAGCTGGTCGCCTTGCGAAGGGTCCTGAACCACTAACCCCTGAATCACACAAAACACGTCCACGCAAAAATATGTGCCATGTGCGTTGCGGAGCTTTCGCAGAGGCCAATATATACGCCAACTTTCATGGCGCAATCAAATGCCACTCGCATCTTTTCTCGCTGCGTCTCCGGCAGCTAGAAAGCACTCCCGCAGCTTTGTAGCCGCCGGCCCCCGGCACAAGCAGCCAGCCCGACTCTGAAATTCAGCGAGTCCCGGCCACCCCTTGGAAGCTTGTGCGCTAAAATCCTACGGGGCCCTTGCAATCCTAGAGCTCCAGTTGCTTGCAAAAGCAGTTTTGAAACGGCCCTTATGATGAACGCGTGGCCAAAGTCTGGATGCTCCAAGGGGCCCAATTCTTTCTGTGCAATTCAAGTCCGCTGCTTCTTCGCCTTCTTCAGGGATGCCTGTGCTTCCAAAGCCGCACTCACAGCTCCGCCCGTGATGCTTTTCTTGCTGCTGCCTGCAATGCCAGAGGCAGGACAGTCATGTCTTAGGCTCTCACATCCCTGGGCAGAATCATGGACTTCACGTGGCTGCATGCGGCCATGTGGTTTGAATCAGACGGCGTATGGCCATCCTGCCTGTGGATGGCATGTCGGGCGACTCGCAGGCTCCCCGCTTCAGCAGACTGGGTCGGCGCCTCGGAGTCGTGAGGTCCTCGGGCGAGCTCAAGCTTGGTGCTTGTCGATTTTGCTGTCTCATGCTGCCTGTGCCGCCTGCAGGCTGGATGCAAGTTGACACAAGCTCCAATACAGCGCGGCTTGCAGCAGAGCGGCGTCCGCATTAGCAACTACCATGCCCACCTTGGTCGTAAGGCTTCCAACATTCTGCCCTCAAGATTGATGAACACTGCTGAACCGGAGCAGCCTGTTTGGCTTTCTGTGTGTCCGCTCAACGCATT